AGCGTCCAGGACTGACGGATGCCCTGCTCGCGACAAAATCCAGCGAGAATGCCGGAGCGAAACTCACCCCCACGGTCGGAGTGAAGACAGCTGACACGACGACCACGAGTGTTCGCAGTGGTAAGTAACCACCGGATCAGCGTAGAATTCGCCTCAGACTTCTTCGCCAGGGGGAACACTGTGGTGTAGCGAGAGTAGTCGTCAACGACCACCAGAAAGAAACTCTCTCGCTCAGGGCCAGGGCGAGTGGCGGGGCCCCAGACGTCCAAGCGGAGAGTCTCAAAGGGCTCGGTGGCCGGATGAAGGGAGGAGGAGTGAGGGGTGGCGAGCAGTCGACCCTCAACGCAGGGACCGCAAGGTGGTGCAAGCAAAGGCGGCAGCGACGGCAAGACTCGCGGGAGGCCTAAGCCAAGACGCTGACTAGACATAGCGCGTAGGCGAGGAATGGACGGATGCTCCATCCGGTGGTGTCACAGAACGGGGTGGGCAAATGACCGGTAGGAGCAAGACGCAGCAACTAGACCAGACACGGGAACCTAACCAGACACAGCTACCTGGTGAGAAGCGGCAACCTGGTGAGATGGGGGGGTTGTGACGGGGGGCACTGACAGTGGTCGGGGGCAGTATCTGCTGCTACTGCCGCGGCTGCTGCTGCTGCTGAGGCTGTTGCTGCTGCCAAGGGCAAGTGTGAAGAGTGTAGAGACCAGAGCCCGGCTCAATGGTAAAGGTGGCCAGAGGCGGGTACGTGTCCCCGTCGACACAAACCGCAGTCTCGCCAGAAGGCTCAATCCACACACCCACGTGCTGACTCACAAGCGGCCTCACGCCCACCAAGTTCCTCGAGAACGAGGGGATGTGGAAGCCGGTCAGAGAACTGGAGGGAACAGCCGGGCAGGGAAGCATAGTAGTGTAGTGAGCAGTGACTGGTCCCGAAGTGGGATCAGCCAGTGCCATAGAGATAGGCGCAGGAAGCGGAGTAAGCATCGTGTGGTCGCAGAAGAAACGGTGCGAAGCTCCAGAGTCCATAGTGAAAGACAGCGAAGTGACCTCCGGAGCAGCTCCTGGACTAGTGTCTACACAAGTACCTACGCTAGCAACAGGCACCTCAGCAACACTAGCACCTAAGCTAACAACATTCGAGTAAACAGAGTCAGAAGCACTAGAGTCAACAACAGCATACATAACATGAGGAGTTCCTAAGAGATCAAGCAAGTGAGAAGCCGACATTCCCCACAGAGCGGGGCCGTACGACTGAGCAAGGGGAAGCCAGTCAGGGGCAGGGCCGTCAACGCCGTAGGCGACACGAAGTGTGTCAGTGAGCTGAGCAAAGCACTGACTCGGTGGGTGGGTGCGGCCACAGGGAAGACCTCGGCGAGCACCTGTCTGAACGAGATAGGTGCAGGGAGGGTGGACGGCGCCACGCGACAGCTGACGCGGTCCTGACCCCTGCCCCAGAGCCTGCTGCTGCCGCTGCTACTGATGTGGCTGCTGCAAGAGGAGGGGTTGCTGCTGCTGCTGCCGCCGCTGAGTCAGGTACCAAGCCGCCACTCCAGCACCTGCAGCTGGCGGACCAGGAGGTGCCTGACGAACCCGAGCATCACCTCCACCAGCCGCAGTAGAGGAGCCACTAGCCGCTGCACGAGGCGCTCCTCCAGCCTCTGTACCGCCGCCACCGCCGCTTGCCACGCCACCTCCGCTACCTCCGCCGCCTCCGCCCGCACCCTGACCGCCCCTCCTGCCATTCCTACCCCTAGACCGTGAAGAAGTCGTAACAGCAGCTGCGGTCACGTCAGTAGCGGCAGTGGCGAGGGAGGTAGTAAAGGTGGGCAACTGAGGGATAGTGCACCCGCGAAATAGTGGAGGGGGCACAGCACCAGAGGTGGAGGCTACTGAGCGGAGGTTGCTCTCGACGTCCTTTAGGGTAGACTCAAGGACCTCGATAGTGAGCTCGCTAGGGTGCTTCAGAAGAAGCGCGTCACGAATTGAGGCAAGGCGGTCAAGGAGACTAGTGGCGATGAAATAGATCGTAATCGCCATAGGGGGAGGGAGCAGTGCAAGCTGCGCGTCAGTGCAGGCAGCGCGGTAGTTAGAATCAAGCGAGCGCATGTGAGCGATCAAGTCAGCAGAGCGCTCAAACGAGGCGAGGTCAGGAAACAGGTGCACCGGGAGGAAAAGTCGACCAAGAGAGACAGTAGTGGGAGTAGCGTAGCGGGCCTTGATCGCAGTCAGGAACTCACTAACAGTGGGGACCTGAGTGAAGTGGGCCTCCTCAGACTCAGGGAGGAGGCTGCTAAGGGCGATGCAGGCCGCAGCGTCACGCGACTTCCACGCTGTCAAGTCAGCACGCTGGCGTGCATAACGGTCTCTGTCTGCAGTGCTAGCGTCAACGCCTAAGGGTGCAGGGGCGGGGGGCGCAGGAAGGTCACCGGAAGTGTGCGCCCACAGAGACTCGTCTGCCTGAACCTGACTCTCTAGGAGGCGACGCACACGCTGGAGCCAGACCGAGAACTCGAGTGGCCTACCCTCGGCGTCAAAGCGCAGGACCCTAGGGGTCGCCTTAGTGGAAGCGAAGAGGTGGGAACTGCTGCTGCCGAAACCCTAAACGCGTAAAGGGCTTAAGGAGGGCGTGACAGGAAGTGGGTGAGGCTCAAGGCACTGCAGGACGCTAGGGTAGGGCGCGACGAGGCGCTACGCGGCAGGCAGGACAGAACGCGCGCGGCTCGGCGCCACGCTGCAAGCAGAACGGGACGCACGCGGCTCGGCGCCGCACGGCAGGCAGAACGGGACGGGCGCGGCGTGGCGCTGCGGGACGGGCAGGCACGGAGACGGCGACGGGACAGACGGGACGGGCACGACGAGCTAGACCGGACGGGACAGACGTGACGCGACGGACGGGACAGACGCGACGTGACGGACGGGACAGACGCGACGCGGCGGGACGACGGGACGGGACGACGGGACGGGACGAGCGCGACGCGACGGGACGGGACGAGCGCGACACGACGAGACGGGACGGGACGACGGGACGGGACGCGACGCGACGCGACGGGACGAGCGTTACAGGCGTTTCGGGCGCGACGGGCGTTACAAGCGCTACGGGCGCTGCAGGCGCTACGGACATCGGGCGCGGTAGGCTAAACACAACAAAAGCTAGGAAACGAGACGAACCGGCGTGAGAGGCGCTAGGGGACGATACGGGCGTAACGGGCGCTAGGGAACGAGACGAACCGGCGTGACAGGTGCTAGGGGACGATATGGGCGCAACGGGCGCTAGGGTACGAGACGAACCGACGTGACAGGCGCTAGGAGACGATACGGGAGGAACGGGATCCCACAGGATCCTAACCTAGATGATACTATGTCAAGAACGGAATGGTGGTATTCACTAAGGTTGGTTGGGGTGCATAAACCTAACCCTAACTGTTGTACCCCATATGACACGCATCACTAAGACTATAACATCTGACACTGGTGTGCTAAAGCATATTTCTGTATTTGTCATTATATAAGCGCATGCGCTTATACCCTCGACTCACTTATAAACCACCCCATTAAAAATCAATGTTTTATTATAAGCGCACCTGCGCCTATATCCGGGGGGTGGTACGGTATTGTAGTTTATACTGTCGAACTTCTGAGTTGCATATAATTCATTTTACTTTTCCGTAAAAACCAGATACGTACAGTGTACAGGTCCCCCCTTCATTTTCGCTACAGCCCCTTGGGGTCAAACTACATCCAAGGATGACGGATATGCTTTCACCTGAAATTAAGAAAACAAGAAAAGGCAAAGAACCCTTCGTACACCAACCCTCTGGTATCAATCTCTCGTGAAAGGGTAAACTGAAGAGGGGGGTGTTGTCATAATGTGTGGGGGAGTGGGGTCACAGTGGTGGTGGTGGTAAGTGCCTTGATCAACCATTCCCGGTCCAAGCCCAAGAAAAGGGATGGGAGAGGGACCACCGAGAGAGAGATGGACAGGGAAAGGGGTGGTTACAAGCATGGGCGTGGGAGTGAAATGGGTAGAGTGCTTCGTGGCAGCCATGCTGCAATGCTGCCGGAATTGAGGGGGGTCAGTGGGGGGAACATGCTCCGTCTGGTGTTGCTGCTGCTGTTGCAGTTGCGGTTGCGGTGGTGGCAAAAATGTATGGGGTTGCTGTTGTGGTGGCTGCTCGGGCACAAATGAAGGAGTTGGCTGAAGAAATAAAAGCTGTTGTGGCGCCTGCTGCTGCTGCTGCAACTGCTGCTGGTGATGCTGCTGCGTTTCAGCAGCACTCGGTGCTTCATCGCCTGCACTGTAAGCCTGAATGCTCCCTACAGGGAACACGCCAGGTACAGGAACAGGCCGGTATGCTGTCACGGTCACAGGGGCACCAGCCAACGTTGCTGCACTGGAACTACCATTTATAAAGGCACTCATGCTTCCTTCACCTAACACCTGGTTCACTCCCTGCCGCTGCTGCTGCTGCTGCTGCAGCTGAGGGGGGGTGACTTGAGTCCCAGGACTACTCCCCCATGGCAGAAACCCTTCCCTCCCTTGGCCCCTCTCTGACAGCCGTGGCCCCAACCCAGGGCTACCCAGCAGCGCACTGCCTGCATGTGATCGAGGCGCCAGCACATTGAACGCGCCCTGTGGCGGGCCTTGTCTTAAAGCCCCTCCTGCCTCAGCTGCTGTTGGCACCGTTGCTGCTGTGGCTACTGTTGCTGCTGCTGCAGCTGCTGCTGTGCCTGGTACAGCAGGTGGAGCCGGAAGAGTAGCAGCAGCGGGACCTGGCACGGACACGCCTGCTGCCGCTGAAACTCCATGCTGCAACGACGCCGTTCCAGCTACTACTGCTGCTGCTGGTACTAGCGCTCCTCCTGCTTCTGTCCCTCCCGTTGTTTCCCCGGAATGCCTTATTGAACCCTGGCTGGAACCAGGTTCCGTCCCACCTGCAGCTCCTGCTGCTGCTCCTGATCGTGCCCCTGCTACCAGGCCCCCTGCTGCTGAAGCATTGGTGTCAAGCAGCGGGCGAAAAGAGACGGGTGGAACAGCATACGGGGTTGGGAGAGTTGAGAAGAAAGGAGAAGGGGGGAACCAAGGGGGCGGAAGAGGAGTAGGGGTGGGGAGAGATGGGGCTGCAGTGACAGAGGCAGGTGGAGCAGAGAGAGAGGCTGAGGGGGCGGAAGGGAGGGAGGAAGCGGGTGGGGGAGAGAGAGTGGGTTGGGTCTGAAAGGTGGTAGCGGACAGACCTAAAGGCAGCAACCCACCGCTACCAGCACTGCTAACAACAGCACCACCAATAACCCCACCAGCAGCAGCAGCAGTACTGGCAGCAGCAGCACTAGCAGCAGCAGAGGAAGGCACAAGTGCAGGAGCCACAGACCCAGAGGTTCCCTGAGGTGCGTTTGTGGCCACTGGTCGTATAGTTGAAGATGAGAGCCACGCAGGAGCAGCACCCCCTACTGCTGTACCTGCTGCTGCTCCACCTGCTGCTGCTGCCGCTGCTGCTGCTGCTGCTGCTGCTGCTGCTGCAGCGGCCGCTGCTGTGTGAATGTGCACGAACTGAGGGGGGATGTCCATAGGCCTGGGGCCTGCGAGGGGCACTGGAACTGGCACTGGCACTACTGATGGCACTGGCACTTGCATGGGCACTGGTGCTAGGGCTTGTCCCGGTGTAGTTGCAAAAGGAGCAGTTGCAGCGGGCGGATTAGGCGCAGCAGCAGCCGCCGCCGCTGCTGCTAAGGCCCAGTGGGAAGACAGGAAGGCAGAGTGGGTGGACGGAGGAGCAAGCGGAGGAAGCGAGGGTGCAGAGGAGAGAGACGAGTTTTGAGAATTTTCAAAGGCAGCGGGTGCGGTAGATGAGTGAGGTGGCGGCAGGGAGGAAGGAGGCAGGGCAGGTGTGGCCCCAGACAGGGGCACGGAGGCTGTGGGAGGGTGAGGAAAAGGAACGGGTGTTGGAGTGGCAGTGAGGCTGAAGGGATGAGTGGCAGGACCAGCAGCAGCAGCAGCAGAAGCACCCGAAGCAGCACCCACACCTACAACAGTAGCAGTAGGTTCATTGGTGGTAGAGGCGGCAGCAGAAGCTGCTGTGGCGGCAGCAACAGCAGCAGCAGCAGCGACACTGGTGGAGGTGACAGAAGGGACGGAGTAAGTGTTGTTTGAGTATGTGTTGTTTGAGTAAGTGGTATTTGAGTAAGCGTGCGACGGAGTGGCGGTGACGGGTGGGTAGAAAGGATACGGAGCCATGAATACAGCTGGAGATGAAGAGGCCAGTGCAGGGGCAGGTGCAGGTGCAGTGGTGGGTTGTTGGGAGGGATTCGTGTGGGATGCTTGAGGAGTGGAAGGTGGTGGTGGTGCGGACGGAACTAGCGATGTGAGAGGTGATGGGTACGGCATGCCTCCTGTAAGAGGATGAAACTGCTGCTGCTGCTGCTGCCATTGCTGTTGTTGTTGCTGCTGCTGCTGCCATTGCTGTTGTTGTTGTTGTTGCTGCTGCTGCTGCTGCTGCTGTTGCTGTTGCTGTTGCTGTTGTTGCTGCTGCTGCAACTGTTGATGCTGCAACTGTTGCTGCTGTGCATCTTGCCAAGATGGTTGTTGTTGGATGGACTGGATAAGAGGATGTTGCTGCTGCTGCTTCTCCTGAGGTGAAGAATGTTCCTGCTGTTGCTGTTGATGCATCTGTTGCTGTGCTTGCTGCTGTGCCTGCACAAAAAAGTTTGTCTGCTGCTGCTGCTGCATTTGTTGCTGTTGTTGCTGCTGCTGCATTTGTTGCTGTTGTTGCTGCTGCTGCTGTTGCTGCTGCTGTTGCTGCTGCTGCTGCAGCTGCTGTTGCTGTTGTGGTTGCTGCTGCTGCTGCTGTAGCTGCTGCTGCTGTTGTGGTTGCTGCTGTTGCTGTTGCTGTTGCTGTTGTGGTTGCTGCTGCTGCAGCTGCTGTTGCTGTTGCGGTTGCTGCAGCTGTTGTTGCTGTTGTGGTTGCTGCAGCTGCTGTTGCTGTTGTGGTTGCTGCTGCAGCTGCTGCTGCTGCTGCTGTTGTTGCTGTTGCTGCTGGAAGAAGTACGGCGGCAGCTGTGCTTGCTGGAAGCTTTGTGGCTGAAAATGTTGCAATGCTTGCTGTTGCTGGTGAAATGACTGCTGCTGCAGAAACTGTTGCTGTTGTTGCTGCTGCTGCTCCTGCTTCTGCTGCTGAAGTGGCTGCTGTTGAGGTTGCTGGTATAGCTGTTGCTGCTGCTGCTGAGACTGTTCGTGCATCAGTTTCACTTTGTCATCATAAGCAACAGCAGCACTGCTACCACTGACGCAAGTACCAGCATAAGCAGCAGCAGCACCACCACCAGCAACGGCGGCACGCCTCTGCTTATGGCTGGAGGGGGAGTGAACCTCAGGGGAAGAAGCAGGCGAAAGAGGACCTACACCCTGGTGCCCCTTTGCCCCATCCACCACCTGTCCCTCCAACAACGATAGCGGAGCAGCAGCAGCAGCAGCAACTGCAGCAGCAGCACCATTACCGCCGCCCACCC